AAAAAAAAAAAAAAAAAAAAAAAAAACACATCTTAGTAAAACCAATACCTTCTCAGCTTCGCATCGAAGCTAAAATCACATAGTACAATAATTTTAATATGATACAAGGAATTGAATAAGAAAATACTTCATACGAGGGGAGACTACTGGAATGTTTTCAAATATTAAAAATAAAAAAATTTTTATGAAAAATTATGTGTTTTTATTTCGACGACTAATTTTACATAGAAAATTGTAGGTAGCCTTGTTACATCCTTAATATTTCCATAAAAAGGATACGAAAAAAACTCATTGTCTCTAGTGTTGTTGATGTCAATTACATTGATAAGATTTTACAATCTAATAGGTTAAAATTAATAAAATAAGCAGAATTTTAGAACCATAGATATTTTTATGTATAACTTATCAAAAACGGTGAAGTGAGAGATGAGTATTTTTATGCATTTGGTAAAATCAATAAAATTTTTATCAATAATTTTTTTATTAGTTGAATTATTTTTTTCTTGATTTAACAAAATGTTTATTAATTTGATCATTTTTTTATTCTTCTTACAAAAATAATAGTAAATTAATGTAAAACTATGATTCATTAAAAAAAAAATTGTTTGGACATATTTTGATAGTGCATTTATTGGTTTTACTGGAGGAATTTTTCAATGTAGACATACACAAAAAAAAAAATACATCATAGCTAAAATTAATACCTTCTTAGCATCGCTTCAAAACTAAAATTTTTACATTTAGATTTTAAAATCGATGAAGTAAAAAAAAATGTTTGTCGATTTCAACAACTTTAATTACTTAGGAAATTGTTCCTAAATACAAGGGACGGGAACATAATTCTTAGTTTCGATGTAAAACTGAGAATGTATTGGTTTTATGATGGTGAAAATTCTTTTATATATGTCCATTAAATTCTCAGGTCTCACTAAACCAATTTCAAAATGTGACCGACGTGGCCACGCTGTTCCTCTATATTAAAACTGCTATAATTTTTACTTAAAAACACTGAAATTTTAATTGGATATACTAGAGGCAAGTTTTCTTTTAGTATAATTAGTATAAATATTCAATTAAAAACTTAAATGTAGGAAGGGTTTGAAAGAGACATTCAGGCATTTAACAAATTTGTTTTTGATTAACAAATTCACATCGATTGGTTTTTTATGGCAGTAATAATTATTGTCAAATATCATCTTAAATTGTCTCGACTATAACGCGTTCTCGCTGCTGGATTTTTTAATTTTAAGTTTGATACTTTAGTTATATAATATTTTATGATAATATAAATTACTTTTAATTTGTTTTAGATTTTTAAATAAAAACTTGGATTTATAATTTTGAAAAACTTTGTTTAATTTAGAATGGTGTAACTCCGTTACATGTAGCAAGTCACTATGATCATCAAGCTGTAGCATTGATGTTATTAGATAAACAAGCTTCACCTCACGCAGCAGCAAAAAATGGCCATACTCCTCTACACATTGCAGCAAAGAAAAATCAAGTAAGTATGAGCAAGTAAAGAAATTATAAGTTTTATATTTTTGTCACTTATAATTTTGTACTTATTGTATTATTATAATATTATAATATTAAAATTTTTTTTTTGTTATAATATAAAAATATATATAAACTCTCTTTACAAATTTAAATCTTAATTATTAGATGGATATAGCAAATACTTTATTGGATTATGGAGCAAAAACAAATACTGAATCTAAAGCTGGATTTACACCTCTTCATTTGAGTACGCTAGAAGGAAATGTCGAAATGTCTACATTACTACTAAACCATAATGCAGACCCTAATTCCAAATCAAAGGTATTATATACACTTTTTAATTAATAACCTTTGTTTAAGTATTAAGTTTTTTAGAATGGTTTAACCCCATTACATTTATGTGCTCAAGAAGATAAGCATAAAATAGCTGTTGTATTGGATAATTACCATGCAGATATTAATTCAGAAACTAAGGTAACTATACATTATAGTAGTTGTTGAAATGATAAGTTCTTATAGTGAATCAAATAAATATGCGGACATCGTCTAGAAAAAATAATTTTCATCTTGAATTTCCATCGTCTTATAAATGTATAAGAATGGTCATTATTACAATAATGTTTGTACGAGCGATTAAGCCATACTTTAAGGTCTGTAAGATGATGACAATTCTAGAGACAATTAGTTTTTTTCTAGACGATGTTCGCATATTAATTTAACTCACTGTATATTATAAGGTTGTCCTTTAATATAATGATAAATACTATTTTTAATATTTAAGATAACATATCTTCATGTTTAAAATAATCTTGTAAAAATATTACTTAATGAATATAACAATTTATTATTAAATATGAAATATAGTTGGTAGAGTAGTGTTTCCTTAGATTAAAAGCGACTCTTTCTAAACTGGATAACCATTTTTTAGGGATACTTTTTCTTAGAAAAAAAATTATAAATCCGCTCCCTAGAAAAAACTTTCTAGTTAATATTGTAGGAGGCCATATAATATGGTAAATAAAAAGAGGAACAGATAACTGTGAAAGGTGAACATATAAAAAAAACAAAACTAGTTGGTTCTTTAAAAACTCTTAAAAAAACATAATTGTATTTTCATAAAAAAATTAACATCAACGTCATAATAATAATTTCGTAATATTAACATTGCATAATATATAACATAACATAATAAAGATAAGGGTTGTGGCCAGTGCCACCAACCAATGCCTACAATATATTAGTATTAATTTAAACTAATATGTTTAAAAATGTAAAGCACTCTAGTTTAAATGTAAAAAATAATTTTTATACATTTAAAATGGTTGTCATAGTAAAAAAATTAGTGGTAGCTTATATCTTTTACTTTTAACTTAAAAATATATGTGTTGGATACACATCGACCGAATATGCTGTCAAGAAATTGTGTTGTAATTATTCATGTTATCGTTGTGTTACATCGAGTTGTTGTCGATCTTCTCTCTATTTCTGCATTGTCGCCGCCATCTTAACGCTTCTTCTGCTTTAAGCTCTATGGCGCTTGAGAGCCAATAGTTTTGTATTCATTTTGCTAGAAAATTAAAATATCACCTTTTGCGAATGTCGCACCTTGTGCGTTCATTTTATCGCCGTTAGGTCAATATATTTTCCGAGATACATCACAGTACCGTTCACAGCATATTGTACACGTTGGTCAGCTACTTGCATTCGACTTCAATTGATCCTTTCAATATTCAACATTATCATCAACCGTTTCATTTAGCCGATAAGTATAATGCTTGTTCATCTATCTTTTTAAGACTTACTAACTTGTATAATTTATTATTTGTTTATATCAACGCCTTTGTGGCATTAGTATTACGTGCCCCCCCTATCCACATTGGTGTATATAAGATTTTATATTTCTTGTACAATATATTTAATTTTAAAAATTATATATTGTAAAATTCATTCTACATTCAAACATACAGTCTACTCACCTCATTCCTTATCCTCAACAAAGCTAAAGACTTATGACAAAATAAAATCACGAACGTTAACGAACCCGCGTGAATACTACCGAGCGCTGTGTTCAAACAATATGAATATAAATTTTAAAAACATAAATAAAAATAAACAATTTTTATAGACTGGGTTTACTCCCCTACACGTAGCTTGTCACTTTGGTCAGCTAAATATGGTAAGATTTTTAACATCTCGTCAAGGAATAAACTTAAACGCAGTTACATCTTCTGGGTATACACCTCTTCATCAAGCGGCTCAACAGGGTCATTCGACTATTGTTAGTCATTTATTGGAGAAAGGAGCAGATCCTAACTTATTGACAAACGTGAGTGATTAAAATTCTGTATTAACTCATATATGTAAGAATATATAAGACTGTATAATATACAGTCTTTTATTTCTTATATTATAAGAAACCATATAAGTAATGTGGTTTAAAAAAAGTTTTTACAAAATGTTTTTAATTGCATTTTTCTAAAAAGTTTTTTTGATAATAATAATTTGGTATTTTTAGCAAGGACAAACACCCCTATCTATTTCTCAAAAGCTAGGTTACATTAGTGTTGTTGAAGCGTTGAAAAACGTCACAAAAGCTAAACCAACTTCAACATCCGATGAAAAATATAAAGTTAATGCGCCAGAAACTATGCAAGAAACGTTTATGTCTGATTCAGAAGATGAAGGTGGTAAGTGGAGATAATTTTTTAATTATTTTTATTATGGGTGAATATTAGCACACTTGAACAGCAAGATATCTATAATTTAAGATTTATGATATTTATGTACTCGCGTGATTTGTAAAGTATCTTATTTCCTTTCTCCCTCACCTTTATTCCAACTTCTCGGGATGGTCCACTCGTATCATAAGATGGATTATTTAAAATATGTGCAGATATATTTCCCATTGACTAGCAGTTAGCTACAAAAATGTTTGACTTATAAAAAAATGTACAGTATTATAGTAAGTTATGTTCAATATACTTAAAAAAAGTTATTAATACTAAAACCTTTAAATGTTCCCAAATATGTCTTTAACACCCTATGAAAAAATTTTGAAAAAACTACAATATGTACATTCATTAATTAAATACATGAATTTGTATTTAAAAAAATGGTACTGTTTTCATACTTAAAGTTTTAAATATATTTAAAATTGATTATTTTTACAGTTAAATCAAAAAAATTAAAACTTATTAAATTTTTCATATAATTTTTTAATTCAGGTTTTTATCTTAGTTAATTGGCCTATAAATTGAAGTTTTAATTTAAATTTCAAATGACATAATAAATTAACTGTAGAATAACACACCTTTTAAAATATAGCAAAATCTTAATAATATAAAATGCAAAAGACGTGAAGGTTACGCCTTTATTGCTGTGTTAGTGTGGTTTTATTTTGTAATACTAAAAGCTTGTAATGTATGTGATGGGATGATGATTGGCACACAGGTGACGTTTTACAAAGCGGAAGCGTCGAGTACGGTCTCAACACTAAGGCTCCGCCGATAGACAGTGTAATCGCATCGTCACGTGAGTCTGATTCATAAAATAAAAAATAAATAAAAACAAAACACAAATTTTGGACGTATTATATAGTAGTCAACATTGCATGTAAAAAGCTAATAACCCAGTTCAAAGTGTTTATTCCTTATTGGCTGTTATTCAATTTAGTTTAACGAAACTTGAGTCGAGTTGAAAAAAACTTCAATATATTATTCACTATTTCGCAAACGGATTAGACGACACGATCAATACTAAACTTTTCTATGTTAATTATTTTGATATTTTCATGAATTTGGTTTAGCTGCATAAAAAATGTGTATCATCGTAGATGTGCTCCCATCATCATTAAAGCTTATTACAAAACCACAAAACAGTTTGTACTTTTATTTACTTTACATATAAATGTTACCATTGCGACAACATAATATTGTATTATTTTTTTATCGTACGTCTTTATTTATTTTTTAAATGATTGATATAATTAATACTTATGTACACATAAGGATAAAAAACTTAACAATCATTAAAAATTGTATCGAATATTGTCTGAAATATTTACATATATGTCGATCGTTCTATTTATTTTACCAATTGCTGAAGTAGTTCATAATATAGTACCCGTTTAAAATTAAATGTGACCAGCCATCTGGTCAGTTAAGTTATGACCATTTGGCATAATGCCGTATACGTTTCGTCATTGACTTTCCTCTTTTCGGATTTTTCGCGCTTGGCTTCTAGAACATCAAAATAATGGATCAGTTTTTAAAGAGGGAAAAAAATGATAAAAATAACTCTCAAGTTTAGTAGTTACCCACTGTCAGCTAGTTTCAGTGGTATCTTTAACTAGGTCGCCGTTCTTTATCTTTCTTTAATTTCTTGAAAAAAAAAAAATTGATTAATATAAATAATAAATTGTAAACGGTTAAAAACTACTGCTAAAATCAAAATGTGTAAACGGAGATTTTGCTATTGCTGTTTTAAGAGACAGAAAAAAGAAAACAGTTCTCTTCCTGTTGCAGGTTAGAAAAATTATAATTTTTAAAGAATTGAACATTCCTTTTAAAAAATTAATTTTATTGTTCAAAAATACCAAATGGCTACAGTTAAATTATTAACATTTTTGCTCAAAAACTCAATATTAATAATTTTTTTTTAATTAAATTTTGTTACGAGATTTATAAAAAGAGCTTAAAGTTAAGTAATCTGAAACATTTACTTGTGAAAAAATCATAAAAATCAGTACAACATAGAATTTAGGAGTTATGCATTTATTGAAATTATAAACTATATACATGGAAAAAATTGTTGGTATTACTTGAATTTATTCTTTAAAAGTATTAAGTAGTAAATATTTTATAACATTGTATTATACTCCATTACTTTATTAGTCTGTTAATATCTTATTTTACCAACCACATTTAACAAGATATATTTAGCATGTTTTTAGCTATTCGTATTTAAACCTGTAATAAAAAAAAAAAATATAGCTTTCTCAAAACACAACTTTATTCTAATATTTTTCCTCTTTAAAACTAAAAAGAATCACTATCAATTCATTCACAAGTATTTTGTTATAGTATATCATAATTAATATCCGACGCATGAAAAAAAAAAATATGTAGTAGTGTTTTGTGTCACTGAGATCACTAAATAAATTATGCTCATTTTAATATAAAAATTTTTAATTTTATTAGGAGAGGAAACCTTGATAAATGAGCAGTCTTATAGATATTTGACGGGAGAAGAAATGAAAGGTTTCGGTGACGAATCGGCTCCTATTGACGTCACCCGGGACGAACGATGTGATGCTAACACCGGTATGATAAATATTTACTTAATATGACTACAATTTATAAAAATAATAAAATGATTTGATCTAATTTATATAGCTGCACCTCCTTCGTCAATAGATGATATTATAAGTCCGCAAACCGTTTATGACCAATACAGTGGACCAGTGGATAACATCGACATAGTTAAATATCCTCCTCATATTGGGTAAGTAAAAAATTTTAATTACCAAGTCACTATCAATGTTTATTTATTAACGAAATTGTAATTGATCTATTTACTGCTTTCTCTAAATGGATAGTCGTCTGCAATGGAAAACGTAAGCAGTTTAATTTATCTTTTACATCTAATTAATTTTTTACTAAAAAATATTTTAAGGTGTAATAAATAGGGTGTTACCACTGGGTAACCTACCTAATCTCATGATTCATGTTATCTTATTTTTTTCAATTATCAAACCTACTTATTATACAAAGATTATGTATAGATTGTAGTTATCTTAAATAATAATAAAAAAAAAAAGTGTAATTATGTATAAGAATTAATAAATATTTATGTTATTTTTAATAGATTTTTGGTGAGTTTCTTGGTGGATGCACGAGGAGGAGCTATGCGGGGTTGTCGCCATAGTGGAGTACGTGTAATAGTTCCACCACGCCGGGCGTCAATGCCAACACGTGTCACCTGTCGATATTTAAGACGCGAAAAGCTAGTACATCCTCCTCCGTTGATGGAAGGTGAATCTCTGGCTAGCAGAATATTGGAATTAGGACCCGTTGGAGCAAAATTCTTGGGGTATTTTTGGAAGATACAAATTATTTTTCTACTTAATTATTGAAACGATTAATATATTTACAGACCAGTAATGATTGAAGTGCCGAACTTTGGATCTATGCGTGGATCTGAAAGAGAAATTGTTGTTCTGCGATCCGATAATGGAGAAACTTGGAAAGAACACACGGTGGAAGTGACTGATGAAATAGTGAAAGATATACTTGGATATAATTTTGATAAAGAAGGTAATACATGTATATATGATCTAATGAACATACTTATTACATTTAATTGTGAATTTCCTCTGTTATCATTTGATAATGCAAGCATTTTTCTCTTAAACAAAAGTAAAATTATCTATAATTTGTTACTATTGTCAGAGTAAATATAGTCTTAAAACCCCGTATTATATAAAAATAATTCAAAATTTATAGATTGCTTACTTTCTGAAAATCATACATCTAATAGAAATTCTTATGTTAGTATTTTTTTTATGTAAACTACATTTATTTTTGTGTTTATAGATCGTGATCCATGGCATTCGGGCAATCGATTAACAAGAATTGTTACCACTGAATTTCCTCATTACTTTGCAATTGTGTCCCGTGTAAAACAAGAAGTGCACGCGATTGGTCCTGAGGGAGGAGTGGTATCGTCAACGGTGGTGCCTCAAGTTCAGGCGGCGTTTCCACAAGGAGCGCTCACTAAGCGTATTAAAGTCGGCCTACAGGTAAACTTGTTTAAACCGCGACGAAACGTGGCCAGCACGTGCCTAAAGAAAATATCTGTGAACCACGTGCCAAAAAAAAAACGGTTCTCGCTGATGTGGTAAACATTAATATAACTATTTAAAATCAAACAAAAATTATGACCGAACTCAAAATTTTAAACTGTTTCCTTTACTCACGCTTCATATTAAAGTCACTAAAATAAAATTCTTTTTCATTTTGCCATCTAGTTATTTTACCTAAAATAAATATTACTCTAGTCATGAATTACGTAAACAATGAACTTCATTCTGGTTATTTTTTTAAAGTTCAGTGAAACTTACGATGGTAAATATTTAAGTAACCACAATTCTTTCGAATTATTGTGTACAAATTATTTATTTATACTATTATTTAAAATATTTAAAAGATTGTGATTACTAATAATAGAGTTATCTATATAATTAAGAAATATTTAAAATAGAAATCATTATACACTTATGGATTATTGACTATTTTCAACATTATATAAATATGTCAGTATTCATTTGGTGTTAAAATGTTTCACTTTAGAGTTTTATTGTTTAAAATTCTAACACAGAAATTAAATTATGTCTAAAATTTTTTGATAAATACCAGGAGAATCATTAACGTGGTTGACTAAAATAATATCATTTTATTGTACAGTTAACGATTTTTGTGAATTAAAAAAATGTGAAATTCATATTTTTATAAGATAATATTATTATATTAATGTATTTGTATTTTTCATTTTATTATCGCTTTATAATATCATTCCCCTTGAATGTACGAGATATTAGCAAGTTTTTTTATTTTTGTACTAATTTATTATTTATTTTGCTTTACTTTTAATTTAATTGCCCAATAAATATAGTATACATAATTTTCATCGAACTAACATGTTTTTTTTCCATTTTGAGTTCACTCCGAACTAGATAGTTTATTTCATTAATAAGACGTATAAATTTTACTGTATATTATTACACAATTTTTCATGATTTTGAAACAAACTATCCAAGTTCAAACCTTAAAATCCTTTTAATCTTAAAACTTCCAAATTATATAAAATATAAGAATTAATCAAACTAAATCATTTTTTTAGAGTTTTAAAACTCACATACTAAAATAATACAGAAGCTACTATTTATTGGGCCATCATTTATGATTATTTTATAAAAAAAAATAAATATTTTAACAAAAATATTTTTCTTTTATTTATTTTTTTATTATTGCTTAATATTTTTTAAATAATGCTTCTTATCACAGCTTATTAAATTAAATAATATCCCATCAATACTCAAATTTTGTAATACTATTAAAGACAGCATTACAAATTACATTAATATAAATGTAATATTTACATTGATTGATAACATATATTATTATTTATTATGACTTGATGGTCCTTAACTAGTAGTTAGTAATAACTAAAAGCTTTCTTATTAATATTTTAGTTTCTTAATTTATAATGAATAGTTGGTAACTAACTAATCAATTAATTTATCACACCATTGGGAACATCATACAGAGGTGTATTTCAAAATCTTCTTATTTGTAATAAAATAAAATAAATTAAGATATTTTACTGGTTAGTCTAGCGAGAAAAACACTTAATGTCTAACGACATATCATTCACTCATTATTATATTCAAATACATGTTAATAATATCTCAACATATATAATGCATAATATAGAATATAATTATAATAATTTGATAAATAATATGGTCTTTAAATCGTAATAAAGTTATTTATAAAAGAAGTACAAATTAACCGACAAATTTAATAATAAATGACTTACAGTTTTGATATAAGTGTATAATTAAACTACATTCATAATGGATCTTTAAAGGTAGGTAACTAGTGAAAATATTCTATAACATATGTCAAAGTTGGTTTTTATACTAAATTTTATGCGATTACGTACATTTTTGATGAGCGAGTTTTAATCGCCACTTCGGATTTTATTTAAATATTTCCAAACTAATTATTATCCTTTAGCTTAATGATGACATTATAAATCTTCAATATAGTAATTTTGAAATACTAAATTATTGATTTTGATGACATTGCTTTTTCAATTTCTCAATTAGGGTTCAAATGTATTCAAATCGTACTTATCTAGTGATATTTTTGCCTATGAGTAATGTAAACTATATTTGTTTGTGAATGTATTTAAGTACCACTAAAATAAGAGATATTTATAATTATATAAAAATGTAATGTGTTGTTAATTTAAAAACTGATATTTTATACAATTTTGAATAAGTTTAAAACTATAAATAAAATTATTTGACATTGAATTTTAATAAACTTAGAAAGATACTCAAACAAGTATAAGTTATATGTTGCAATTAATGGATACTTAATGATGTAATAAACACATGCTAACACAATTAAAAGTTAGTTGTTTATTACAAAAGAATAATTGTCTATTTATTCCTCTTTCTAAGTTAGTAATAAAGAATGTAGGTGGAAATTTTAATTAAATGAAAATATCAATATTTTGATATTTTACTATAAATAATATAAATAAACAAATACTTCATTTACTTAAATTATTAGAATTTCATACTTTTTAAATATCTTGAAAATTGAATGATATACCTATTACAATCTCGATTAAAAACTATTTGAAATTTAAACATAGTTTTTTTTGTAAAGAAGAAGAAAATTACTTAAAGTGCTTTAACATGTATCTTAAGATGCACTTAAGTTGGCCATTTATTAATTTAACTATTAATCATCTTGAGGTCCTTTTCATAGTAGATTAAGAAAATATCATTTTGTTCACTAATAAAATGAACCATATTTCTTAATATATATATATACAACGTGTACAATAAATACAAAAAAAAAAAGTTATGAATACAATATCGCATATACATATTTCGTGTATATTGAATAGGACATTAACGCCGATAATCAGACGGTTCTGGTAATTTTTATAATGTCTGAAGACCAAGAAAATACAACAACTTGAATAAAGAACAAAGAATTTCTTTATCAAAAATTTCTTGATTATTGTGTAAATGCAAGACTAGTCAAAGAATTTGAACAGAAAATCATTACTTTTACCAACACGCTATTACTGACTATAATTATTTATGTATTATAAAAAACACACACTAAATCATATTTGTTATAGGCCAATACAATTAATTAATATTAACAATAAAAATTGATTAACATTAATATAAGAGTACATTTTTAATTTCTTTTTTTTTTGTGTGTAACTGCTACTAATATAAGAGTAACGTTGTTTATTTTTTAATTAATAAAAATTATTTTATTATAAAAGTTAATTTTACCACGACAAAAAATTTATGTTTTAGTGAATATTTAAAATTTATTTCATCCAAATACGTAATTCAACAATATAAAAAAATGCAATTAAAAATGTGTTACTTAAATTACAACATCAACATTTTTCGTGAAAATGTTTTTTTTTTTGTATTGAAATTTATATGTTATAGTGTATCTGATTTGAATGAGTAATTATACATAATATAATAAACGTCATTATACATTTTATTATATTATTTATTTAAATACTGTAAATCAATATTGTTAATATTTTAAAAATTATACATAAATACTATATGAATAAAAACTTCTATAATAAAAAATAAACTATTTTTTAATATCATTGTCACTATTGAAAAATATAAAAAAAATTAAATTCGAGGTATTACCACTGGGGTAGATATTATGCATATAATATATGCATAATAATTATTATAAATTTAACAAAATATGCTTTAAATAATACAATACGATATTATTATATTATAATGTATTATTTGTTTACACAAAAGCGAGAATCATTGCTTAAATATTTAAAAGTTTTTATAGGTGCATTTGTAACAAACTGGTTTGCGATTTTCACAGGCCCAACCAATTCCTTCAGAACTGACAACAAAGCTGTTGGGTAATCGAGTTGCTGTTTCGCCAATAGTTACTGTAGAACCGAGAAGACGAAAGTTTCACAAACCAATTACGTTGACAATACCATTACCGCAAGCTGCATCTAAAGGCATGATAAATCATTATACAGGGGATGCTCCAACACTTCGACTTCTTTGTAGTATAACAGGTCAGGCAAACTAAAAATATATTTTTATCATTTTCTTTTTAATACTTATAATTTTTTATTTTAGTTATAAAATTCATATTTAGTTTTTAATACATAGACTTTCTTTTTTAACTTCGATGCGAAGCTAAGAAATAAATTTATTTACCATAATGTGTATTTTTTTGTGTCTGTCCTTAAATATTTTCAGCTCTTACTGGGCTGATTTTGATGACATATATATCAAAAGAACCCGAAGACATGACTTTCAAAAATCAAAAAAACTACCTCAATCTAAAAAATTTATAAAAATAACACAAAATTATACTACAGTTATAAAAGGCATTTTCAAAAAAAACAAAAATTTTGCATTTCAAAACTGCTATTACTTATTTTTAAAAATACTGATCCTTATAAAATTTTTTATAATATACTAGATACAATAAGTTTTCTTGTGATATGCTTTCTGTCAAATTCTAATGAAAACCCTGAGTACAGGTTTGCATGTACACAATTCTAATTTACTAGATTTTTGATAATGTTTCGGAACGACTACATTTTTTGACCTATATTAAGTTAAAGCTCTTGAATTGTACTACAGTATTTAAAAAAACTACAAGTAATCGGCCTATAAAGTAAAAAAGATTACATTTATACAAGTTATAATGAAATTGAACAGATTCGCATCGAAGCGTTTTTTATGATAGTAATGTTAATCACTGTCAAATGTCATTTATACTTGTCCCAGCTATGCCAAGATCTCACTGTGCTGGGTTTTTTAACTTATTTAAAAAATACAGTAACTGAATCTCGTGCCGGAATAAACCCTACGTATCATAAAATGAGTTTTAAAAGATCAAGTTCTTTAAAGTATTTATTATTAAGTAGGAATTTGACACGTGAAAATTTTATACTGATTATTTTTTATGTAAAAATCGAAGCCATTTTCAGTACATCAACGAAATAATCTTTAAATGAACTTTGTACTAATGAAAATTAATTTTCTGGCGAATAGACCAAATAATTTTATTGTTTGCATATTTTATCTATCCGGCACAGTTTCAAAAATTCAAATACTTCTGTATTTTAGTTATACAGGACAAACGTTATTTTATTATTTATAAACTACTTATAACGTTTACCTTGAAACTCGATTTTTCAAAATATTAACTTATAGCATTAAAATAAGGTAGAATGAACTATAATAAATTTAATTGATTCGACTTAAATTTATATTTCCACAAAAAACTTAATAGAAATATATTTATTTATTTATTTATATTAAAAATGTTCGATTTACAAGGTATAACACTATAAGTATTACGCCTGTTGAATGTCTTTAAAAATTATTAAACTATAAATTAAAATTTATTCAATTTTATAAGCACAATAATATTATTGAAAAACATTTCGATTAAAACAATGTTTATTTTTGGCTTTCACCGTTGCATTACATGATACTGCACTCTTTGTACAGGGTTGTTTCGGAAAAGATCTCGAAAAGGTAAAAACTAATAAAATAAAATACATTTTATATGGCCTAATATAATATTTAAGAATTCTTAATACTTGATCGTTTATGTTGCTAATATTATATGTAATATATTTTTAATTTTTTTAAACAAATTTTAATTACCATTATAATATACTATTAAATTCAAATGGATAATTAAAATGTGTAAAAATTATTCTATATATTTTTTTTTTTTAACTTTTTTTCATTAATTAAATTTTGATTTTACTTAAAATTTACGTGTGCATATTGAACAATTTTAATTTAATAAAATGTGAAACTATCATTATAAATTATTTATGAGTTACTTTTTTTTGAATTTCTGAAACTTAATTTTATTTATTATGATGAATCTATATGCTATAACATCATAGCTTTTTATAAAATATTTATAAGTAAAACTCTTTTGTACACAACCATATATCAAAAATTTTATAAAAACCATTTCATTGTAAGCTATTGATCTTTTTTGAAACATGCGGGATTGACTTAATTTATTGGTATAAACATGGAATACACAAATTTTATTAAATATTTTATTATAATTTAATTAAATGAACTATTAAAATAATCTATTACCAATTAAAAACTATTTGTAGTTATGGATTTATATTTATTTTTTTATGCGTAGTTAAGTATAATATATATAAGATATTAGAATAAATTAATACACGTTTTGATGAAAGTAATTATCATGTTAAGTTATTTCCTTCTGTTAAAATATATCATATATGGTGTACAAAGAAAATTGTGAATGTCGCATATTGTCTTACTGTCGTATATTGTCATATACTTAATAATTTTACATTTATTTCTAAAGTTTTGTTAAAAAATAATCACTTTTTTGAATATGATTAATTTTTCGCCTAATTAATCTAGGAGGAACGTCTAGAGCACAATGGGAGGATGTAACTGGATCTACACCATTAACGTTTATCAACGATTGTGTATCTTTTACAACGACAGTATCCGCTCGATTTTGGTTAATGGATTGTAGGAATGTTGCCGATGCATCGAAAATGGCAACAGAACTCTATAAGGAAGTGATTCATGTTCCATTTATAGCAAAGTAATTTTGTTTTTAAATATTTTTATCATAATCAATTTTATTCAAACTTAAAAAGAAAAAAAATTTAGATTTGCTGTATTTGCTAAACGAACGGATTTAAATGAAGCTCGAATAAGATTGTTTTGCATGACTGACGACAGGGAGGATAAATTTCTGGAAAACAAAGAGCAATTCACCGAGGTTTCAAACAGTAGAGATGTAGAAGTAAGATTTTAAATTAAATAAATGATACTTAATTTAAATTATTACTTTTATTTTATTAATTAATATGTATAAAATAATTACTAGTTTATATGAAATGCTAAATTTTTTCAAAGATAAAAATTTAATTTAATAAAGTTGTTGGAGAAATTGATGAATTGTGTGGGATACAAAGACATTCATTTTTTTTTTTTAATAATAACTATTTATTATAATTTACACTTTATACAATTTTTAACAATAATTAAACAGTTTAAATAATTATACAGTAGAACTCCAATTATCCGAATTAATGGGGACCGGGACCCATTCACTGACTAATCAAAATAAACAATGACAGGTGACTGCAATGCGCCGGAACTGGAGTGGGAACTCTTACCACGTGTTGTGCCTACACTGACGCCGCGGACTTTGGACAAATTTTTTTCTGATTTTTTCTGAAAGTGATTCGGATAATCGGCGATTCGGATGATCGGAGTTCGGATAATTGGAGTTCTACTGTACTCCAATAAGGTTGATCGATTGGTTCAATCTATTAGAGTCGCGCTCTTAAAATTTTTATTATTACTAAGTTTTCCTTAGTGAAATATTATAAATAAACAATAATATTGGTTAATAATTATTTCAAAAATGTAATAATGAATGAATTATTTATTTGCAAAAAATAATTTTTATACCGTTACATTAATACTACGATCTTTTTCTTAACTATGAATTTTTTAGGTTCTTGAAGGCAAACCAGTGTATATAGAATTTGCTGGTAATTTAGTTCCTGTAACCAAATCCGGAGAACAATTAAAACTGGTAGTAAGGGCATTTAAGGAAAATAGGTTACCATTTACAATGCGTGTGAAAGATCCTACTGCAGAACCTCGATCGTGGACCATAATTATGAAAGAACCTAAGGTATAATTCACAAAATTAATAAATTACTCTGCAAAAATAATTTTTTATTTCAATTACAGGTTTCTAAAAATGAAATTTCTCAAACACCAGTCTGTGTATTGCAATTCGCGTTACCAGAAAATATTGTACCTGATAATGAAGTTAGTGATAGTGAAAAGTATAACTATACTCACAGCTATCACTCTAGTAAGTATATATACACTTATAAATTAAATATAATAGTATACTGTAATAAATAAATTTATACTAATTTATAATTTTTTTTATATAGCTCTAGAACCTAATAAAAGGATTGAGTTACGCTTGACTGATTTAAGTAATTTTGTATCAGATGATTGGACAAATTTAGCTCATGAATTAGGTTTTCAGTCTAATGAAATAGCTCAAATAAAAAAAGAATATCCAGAGAGCAGTAGTCAACAATGCATGAGTATGCTAAACCTATGGATGAATGAAATTTCAGCCAAAGATTCGGGTAATCTTTCTTTTTATTATTATAACTTTTTTTATCTTTCTTTTTAGAATAATATAATTTTTTTATAAAAAATATTGTTTATTAACAATAACATTACGAATAGTTCCAGCATTAGAAAAAGCATTAAACAACATAGGCCGGGTAGATGTGATAGAAAAGTGTAACATGGTTGGAATTGAAAATCAGTCAAAAAAACCTATTTATGCAAATCCTGAAAAATTAAAAAGTTTGTTAATATAAGTTATATTATATGTATGTTTTCCCCTATTTGAGATCAGATATTTGAATGGGCCCCAGATAAGTTTTTTCATAAAAACTATATTTTTTTATAAAAAAAGTTTATTAAAACACTGCTAAAAACTGTAAGTGTTAAAAAAAAATTGATAATAGTATAACTTTTAACTTTTTGAATAACTTTAAAAATTAGGTGAAAATTTACAAGACAAGATTTTTTTGTTTTGCACGCCCGTATTTTTTGTGGGCTCGAGAGGCATGAATTACCTTGTCTTCTTTAGTCTAGGTCTGTAATTTATTATTTCGTGTCACATGACTGATGTAATAATGGCTATTGATGGTACTAATGTAACATTTTGTAAAGCTTAAACGTAACAAAATAATCATTTCTAAAATGATTTAAAAAGGTTTTCTGGTGCCCATTCGAAATTTATTTACATTAAAAACAAAATAATAACATTTTAATAATATAAAATTACACTAACATTGTGATAATGTTATATTGAATTTTTTTAATACCTATGACATGTTTTATTTTTAATTTTTATGTCATTTTTTTTCTGAAAATGTGTAAATAGATCTAATTTGTTGATTTTGTAGACTTTTCGTGATTATTTATATAGAAAATTCATGAAAATTTAGAGAAAAAAATTGATTTTTATTTTGATATTTCTAATTTTTACCAAATATTATCATAATACTAACAATCAATATTGTTGTTTACACAGTTTATTAATTTATTTTTTCATAGAGGATAAATACGCAGCGGAAGAAAAAGTCGTTATAGAGGATGAAATTAATAAAACAGTTAACGAAAGACGAATGGAAATTGAACAAAGATTAAATGGAGAACCAGTTGTAATTGAAAAGAAATTAGATCCACGAACAAAAATTGAAACATTTACCACGAAAGCAATAGAGAAGCCTATTGAACCTATAGAACCTACTGAAGTATCATTTGAACACAAGCGAATGTCGTTCGAAAGAGGAGTATCTATTGAATCAGTTCTACTTGAAGATATCCCATTAAAAGATAAACCACAACAACTAGGAGAAGATAAAAAAATGAAATCTATAGAAGAAAAGTTATCAGATTCTGATGTCGATGGAACTAGTTTATCGTTTCACGAGAAAAGACTTTCATTTGAGCAAGGAATACCAGTTAGAGAAATAATACAGAAAAAAACGGAAGAAACAGTTCAAGAACAAATTACAGAGAATGTGAAAGATTCAGAACCATTAAGTGAAATTGAAAAATCCTTTACAAAGAGCGAAACAACCTCATCAATTTATGGTAACAGTACTATGAACCTTTACAATTTGTTAATAATTTTATGAACTTATATGTATTTCACTTAATACTCCATAAAAGTTAATTGACTATGGCAAACGCTTGGTAGTTTTGTTACTTCTAATGTCGAGAGATGCCAAAACGACTATTTTATAAATATAAATAAGGTGTCCTCATAATATTTGACCCAAAGTGCTGTTATAACTGATACCGATTTTGCATTAGGAAATAACTTAAAACTATAAAGATTATTATTGTAGACTGTTAATAAGTTTTGTTTTGTTTTTAGATGAAACAACAGTGCCTGATTTAAAACCTGAAATTGTGCTCAATGCCAATATTAATCAAGAAAAATCACTACAAGCTGAGCGTGATTTAATGATATCAGTAAAAGTTGCCCAAAATTTGGAGAATTTGGATACAAATAGTCCAAAAGTAGAAAATAAAGGTAATTTATATTTATAATAAAAAAATTATATTATTAACTATTTTTGTGTATTTCATGTTTAATTATAAGCATATTCCCTTTTTATCAGATGATCTCCTGTTGTCTAAATCGTTCAAAACTCTACTACCAAGTCAAGCGGATTTTAATAACGCTCAAAAGAATGAATTTGAAAAATCAACTTCTCCCTTAAATAATATTGAAACTGAAGGTTAGTACTTGCAAATGTAACATAATACTTTTTACATATTGTACAAATTTCAAGGTGTTCTAATACTTGCTAAAGCCGAAATTATTTTTATATCGCCTTTTTAATTTTTTAGTCATATAGAATTACATTATTTTGTACTAAATATAACATTAGATAACTCGAGTTAAATATAGGTCAACTATAGTTTATGAAATAGTTTAAGGTTTCTTTATCATATAATGGCTTCATTCTTACGTTAATATGATAATAATATTACATTAGGGGAAAATAAACTCTATATACTGGAAGGGATACAATTTATGCATTTGACGAGCTGTAAGAAGAATGTGTTCTATTGAATAAAATGTATATAGTTTTACTAGAGTGACGAAAACCTAAAATTTATTACCTAAATTGTTTACATACATTTAGTTAAAAACTGTGAGTATAAAAAAAAAATAGAAATAAGATAAACTTTATTAAATTTAGTAATTAAACTACCTATTAAATTATGAAGAGATTTAAGCAATATCGTTAAAATAAGTTCATGTTTAAAGTTGTAAATAAATATTTTATTAATTAATATTGGTAAAATTAATATTCATATATTGATTTATATATATGAGTTGTTTAAATAAATATGTCGATTATTATTTACTATAGGTAATCATAACAATTATGATGTAGTAAGAAAAACATATTATTTAACATTTTCATTTAAATAAATAAATTATACATTTATTTTTCAATAAGTCTATAATGTTTTACATTTAGTTGATCAATGTTTAACTCGTTAAATTTTACAATAATAATAATTAATGCGATAATTTAACTGTTGGTAGATAATTTCGGCTTTAAATTTGCGCTATTTAAAGCTTTTATTTTAGCTCTTACTAAGAGTAATAGGGAAATAACAAACATTTATTACTATCCTTGAAATAATTAACTTTTTAAGAGATAATAGCCTATTATAAGAATTAGTAAATTATTGTTTCTTAATATGAAAATCGTGTACAATAGCACATTATGTATTGGTGCGTCATGTAATGTGTTGCAATTATATTAAATTTATTTTACTGAATTTAATTTAAATTAGTTAATCATTAAGTTAACTGCTTATTATAAAATTAATTTAAAAGTTTTTTTTACATTTCTTCATTTTTAATACCTTAATGTTGTTGATGTAATTTTACAGTAAATAATATCTATACATAAATATTTTTTATTTTGAATCATAACTTTTGCTTTTGCTAGTTTTGAAATATACTATTTCAAAACCTTTTTAGTGAAATAAAACTGTTAATGTTTTTAAAGTGTTCGATCATTCGAATATAAAAAGAAATTGAAAGAAGTTAAAAGATAAAAATTGAGGGATTTAACTTAATTTTTAGTTGTTTGGGAAGGGTAAGGTGAGTTGACACCCTTACTTGAATTTTTTAAAGAAAGTATTCATCACACAAATTTGTGTGATGAATACTCCTAGTATTTCTTTATTTTAATAAGACTTGCAAATACTTTTTATTCGTTATGTTTCTCTTCAGCTATTATAAAAAATAAATATTCATTAACACTCAAGTTAAAGCCTTTTATTTTTTAAATCCATGAAGATTATCTTTCCCCGAGTGTCAACTTGCTCTGATCTCTTCTAAATAGAATGATCCATGATGTTTTCACAATTTTAATAACTTTTAATTTACTGAATATGTTGCGTTACTTTTTATAAAATTATTATTGTGTTTTAAACTTATCAATTGAAATAAAATGTTTAATAAAAAAAAAAAAAAATTTATTTGCGAAAAGTGTAAAAAATATACTAATATAGTAAATTTTTCAGAGAAGTTTTTAGTAATATAATTACTAAAAATATAATTTGTTAGAAAAATCACATTTTAATGTTTTATGGATAAATTTCAACGACATTATATATTTTGCCAAATTTTGAATATTTATTTTACAGTATCGAAAATCATGTAAGTAAAGTATAGAAATAAAGCATATGTACACATTAAAAACAAGTTAGATTTATTAAATTGTTTCTATGAAAATTATAATAATTTGAATGATCGTCTGTTATTGAAATCGTTATAATTTTTTTTTTTGAAAAAGTCTTATACTTATAATCCAAATAATTAGCGTGAAACCAATGCGTTATCTTTTTTTTTTTTCTTAACACAAATTTTAATGTTCGATACCGTAAAATAAGTAAGTGAAGATTTTAATTTTAACATACTTCAAAATACAACATATAATTTATTACTGAATATAGATAAGATACTTTTTTTTTTAATGTACTTTAAAAAATGGCAATCTTGATATTTTTTTTACATTTTTTGCAAATAAAAAAAAAAATTTTAAACTAAATTAATGCAGTAGTATTTATAATGATATATTTGTAGTTCTTAAGTATAATACTAATAATTCAAAATATTAAGTAAATCAAAAGTTATGATATTTACAAAACATCATGGACCACACAATGTATATCCCGGGCCACATTTAGAAATTGTGCCGCCCTGGGATACTCAATGACCTTTTTATTTTGCTCTTTAAAAAAATGAATTAATTCCGAATATTCGAACACGAGTTGCAGCTTATAAACTAAAATTTATTTGTAACTAATTTTTTTTCGTTATGTCTTCATCATATACTTATTACTATTGCTTTTGCAGTATTTTAACATAGATAAGTTTTTAATATCGAACATTTCTGAGTTTTCTGTTTAACATCTATGTTATACGTTTGTTACGGTGCTTTGATTTTTGTTTTACATTAAAAAAACTAACAAGACAAAAAAAAATGTATTTTATTTTCTAAGTAATTTTAGTAATTTAGTTACAAAATCGTCCTTTATAATAAATTAAGTCTTATGAGGCTGTTTTATAATTTTAATTTTTATAACTTAACTTTTAGCAATAAATTCATTTTTTTTAGTAGTAACATAATTAGTTCAAATTTATTCCATAGTTTTGTAATGAAAAAATAGTTTTCATAAAGTTTTTTTAATTTAACATATTTTGAATTAAATGAAATGTATAAATTAAAAATATATATATTTTAATTTAATGAATTTATTAATATCGAAAAGAAAATTAGTTTAAATTATTTATATAAACAGAATGGGAAAAATTAAATAATATAAAAAGGTACAATCCGTGTAAAGCTTAAATAAAAATTATAACACAAAAAGAATTTTTTAATTATTAAAATTGATTTTTTAATCAAGAGAAAGATACTGAAATCAAAGCACCATCAACACAACCAGACAAATGACAGAAAAGTGAGAAAATAAAGTATAATATAATATTTGCACAGTTCAGCTACTGTTGCTTCATTTTGAAATAGATATGCTTAAAAACGATTGGAAACGATTATTTCCTTATTGTCTTGCTTTTACCGTTTTACCACCAATATCCTATTTTATACACACAAGCCACATCGCAGTATCATATCATTTGTTCAAAATGGGTTAATTATGACTAGTAATTTATAATTAACTAGTCCTACAAAATAGTGATACATTCATGATGTTTTGGGCATAGTTTTTTGGCGACAGGAAAATGATGATTTATTGGATACACACGGATTTGGTGAGCATTTTGTTGGTATTGAAACACCAAATTTGGCTAAAACAAAAACCAAATCTTTGGCGGATATTGATGAGATAGTTGAGGATGATAGGATGGTTGTAGTACACTCATTTTCGAACCGATTTAAAGTTGTTCCTAGTGAGGCACATATAGCAAAAAACGAAATTCTTTCATTTAATAGTCCAATAACAGATAAAAGACTATCTCATAAAGATATAAGTAAAAGTCTTACACAAACCTATAGTGATACTTTATCAAGCCCAGGACTCAAATCTAAACCTAAAACAAAGTGTGATAAAGAGTTAGATATTAGTTATACTGGGATAAGCTCGATTTATTCACATAACATTGGTTTATTAAATAACGAAGTCACAGAAGTTAAAAAATCAATTAATATTATTGAAACAACTGCTAATCCAATGAATTCATTAATATCAAATGACTCAATAATAAATTTGAGTAATGAACAATTAAAAATATATAACATTAATAATAAAAGTATTAATACAGAAGAAACAAGTAATAATAAAAAACTATTTGTACAAGAAAAATACCAAGAAAATACACAGGATTTATTGAGAACTAAATTACCGTTTGATTCGAAAGCAGTAAATTCAAAACAAGTTAACAGCAATGAAAACTGTGTAAGCCACTTAAAAAGTTCCTTATTAAATATTATTAATATTGAAACAAAAGTATTAGATAATATAGAAAAAAAGATCTGTAATGACAATAATAAAAGAAGTGATTTACGTTTAGAAAAATTAGAAACAGAAATTATAAAAAATAAAAAAAATAAAGATGTACCATTAAATAAAACAATGTCTAATCTAATAACAAACAAAGAAATAAATAAAAAAGAAGAAGTAAATGAAGTTTTTGAAAAATCAATAGTTGATAGTGGTAGAAAAATTTATAATATAAAAGATACAAATTATGACAGTCTCAGAAGATTTAAGGAAATAAAAGCATACATTGACCAAGATGAAAAAGAAATAATTAAAACAGGTGATAGTATACATAATAAAAACTTAACTAATAAAGAAATTATTGACGAAATACCTGTAAAAGAAGAAATTATTATACCAAAAAAAATTAAATACTCAGATCAAAAAGATAATGTTATACAAGATACACAACATATTATTCCTTTAAAAATGAAAAGTATAGAAAATTTAAAAGAAAACAAAGATAAGGAGACTTTAAAAATAGAAACAATGAAAAACATAGGTGAAACCCAAAAATTCACAATCACATCACAAGGTGTAATAAATAAAATATATAAAAAAACTGAATATTACGAAGAAGATGAGGATTCCGAGTCTGAAACGTTTAAAAAATTCACAAAAGAACACCTCAAGAATGTAAAAAATTTAATAATCTTGGATGATCAAGAAAAAAAAATTAATAAAAATGACGAATTACCAAATCGAGTACATAAATCTTATACTAAAAATATTGAAAAAGGACTTAAAGATATAACAAAAGCACTATCAGGCATTGTTAAAAGTATAGATAACAGAATTACATATCCTAAAGATCCTAATGATGACATAAATAACAAAAAAAATGATAAATACACTAAAACAAAACCATCAAGAATCGATAAAAAAAATGAAAAAAACACTGACAATTTAAAAAAAGATTCAATTACAATAAATATTGTAGAACATGATAGACTTTTCGATAAAAATGATGCATGTAACAAAAAACGCGATGACAATATAAATGACATCAATAAAATCGAAACTTCTTCAACCGATATTGAAGATGACACCAAATCGCATTCAATCGATAATGTTGATGATAAAAATTCAATTGAAAACACTGATATTCCAAAAGTAGATTCCTCTAACATTCCACCCTTAAATAAAATCGAAAATTCTTCAACCGATATTGAAGATGACACCAAAAAATCGCGTTCAATTGATAATGTTGATGATAAAAATTCAATTGAAAAAACTGATATTCCAAAAGTAGATTCCTCTAATATTCCATCCTTAAATAAAATCGAAACTCCTTCAACCGATATAATAGATGTTAAAAATTCACTAGATAACATTGACAATTCCAATATTAAATCCTGTAATGAACTATCGTTAAATAAAACTAATTCATCATCGTTCGATAACGATGAAGACACCAAATCGCATTCTATTGATAATGTTGATGATAAAATTTCAATTGAAAACACTGATATTCAAAAAGTAGAATCCTCAAATATTCCATCCTTAAACAAACTCGAAACTTCTTCAACTGATATTGAAAATGACACCACATTGCGTTCTATCGATAATATTGATGATAATAATTCAATTGAAAACACTAATATTCCAAAAGTAGATTCCTCTAATATTCCATCCTTAAATAAAATCCAAACTTCTTCGACTGATATTGAAGATGACACCACATTGCGTTCTATCGATAATATTGATGATAAAAATTCAATTGAAAACACTGATATTCCAAAAGTAGATTCCACTAATATTCCATCCATAAATAAAATGGAAACTTCTTCAACCGATATTGAAGATGACACCAAATCGCGTTCAATTGATAATATTGATGATAAAAATTCATTTGAAAACACTGATATTCCAAAAGTAGAAATCTCAAACATTCCATCCATAAATAAAATGGAAGCTTCTTCAACCAATATTGAAGATGACACCAAATCACGTTCAATTGATAATATTGATGATAAAAATTCAATTGAAAAAACTGATATTCCAAAAGTAGATTCCACTAATATTCCATCCATAAATAAAATGGAAACTTCTTCAACCGATATTAAAGATGACACCAAATCGCGTTCAATTGATAATATTGATGATAAAAATTCAATTGAAAAAACTGATATTCCAAAAGTAGATTCCACTAATATTCCATCCATAAATAAAATGGAAACTTCTTCAACCGATATTAAAGATGACACCAAATCGCGTTCAATTGATAATATTGATGATAAAAATTCAATTGAAAACACTGATATTCCAAAAGTAGAATCCTCAAATATTCCATCCTTAAATAAAATCCAAACTTCTTCAACTGATATTGAAGATGACACCACATTGCGTTCTATCGATAATATTGATGATAATAATTCAATTGAAAACACTAATATTCCAAAAGTAGATTCCTCTAATATTCCATCCTTAAATAAAATCCAAACTTCTTCGACTGATATTGAAGATGACACCACATTGCGTTCTATCGATAATATTGATGATAAAAATTCAATTGAAAACACTGATATTCCAAAAGTAGATTCCACTAATATTCCATCCATAAATAAAATCGAAACTTCTTCAACCGATATTGAAGATGACACCAAATCGCGTTCAATTGATAATATTGATGATAAAAATTCATTTGAAAACACTGATAATCCAAAAGTAGAAATCTCAAACATTCCATCCTTAAATATAATCGAAACTTCTTCAACCGATATTGAAGATGACACCAAATCGCGTTCAATTGATAATATTGATGATAAAAATTCATTTGAAAACACTGATATTCCAAAAGTAGAAATCTCAAACATTCCATCCATAAATAAAATGAAAGCTTCTTCAACCAATATTGAAGATGACACCAAATCAAGTTCAATTGATAATATTGATGATAAAAATTCAATTGAAAAAACTGATATTCCAAAAGTAGATTCCACTAATATTCCATCCATAAATAAAATGGAAATTTCTTCAACCGATATTAAAGATGACATCAAATCACGTTCAATCAATAATCTTGATGATAAAAATTCAATTAAAAACACTGATATTCCAAAAGTAGAAACCTCAAATATTCCATCCATAAATAAAATCCAAACTTCTTCATCCGATATTGAAGATGACAGTAAATCACGTTCAATCAATAATGTTGATGATAAAAATTCAATTGAAAACACATATATTCCAAAAGTAGAAACCTCAAATATTCCATCCTTAAACAAACTCGAAACTTCTTCAACCGATATTAAAGATGATACCAAATCGCATTATATCGATAATTTTGATGATAAAAATTCAATTGAAAACACTGATATTCCAAAAGTAGAATCCTCAAATATTCCATCCTTAAATAAAATCGAAACTTCTTCAACCGATATTGAAGATGACACCAAATCACGTTCAATCAATAATCTTGATGATAAAAATTCAATTGAAAACACTGATATTCCAAAAGTAGAAATCTCAAACATTCCACCCTTAAATATAATCGAAACTTCTTCAACCGATATTGAAGATGACACCAAATCACGTTCAATCAATAATCTTGATGATAAAAATTCAATTGAAAACACTGATATTCCAAAAGTAGAAATCTCAAACATTCCACCCTTAAATATAATCAAAACTTCTTCAACCGATATTGAAGATGACACCAAATCGCGTTCTATTGATAATATTGATGATAAAAATTCAATTGAAATAACTGATATTCCAAATGAAGAATCCTCAAATATTCCATCCTTAAATAAAATGGAAGCTTCTTCGACCGATATTGAAGATGACACCAAATCGCGTTCAATTGATTATATTGATGATAAAAATTCAATTGAAAAAACAGATATTCCAAAAGTAGATTCCACTAATATTCCATCCATAAATAAACTCGAAACTTCTTCAACCGATATTAAAGATGACACCAATTCCATAAAAAACATAGACAATTCAAATATTGAATCCTGTAATGAACTATCGTTAAATAAAACTAATTCATCTACGTCCGATAACGATAAAGACACCAAATCACGTTCAATCGATTATGTTAATGATAAAAATTCATTTGAAAACACTGATATTCCAAAAGTAGAACTCTCAAATATTTCATCCTTAAATAAAATCGAAACTTCTTCAACCGATAGTAAAGATGACACCAAACCGCATTATATCGATAATTTTGATGATAAAAATTCAATTGAAAACACTGATATTCCAAAAGTAGAAATCTCAAACATTCCACCCTTAAATATAATCGAACCTTCTTCAACCGATATTGAAGATGACACCAAATCGCGTTCAATTGATAATATTGATGATAAAAATTCATTTGAAAAATCTGATATTCCAAAAGTAGAAATCTCGAACATTCCACCCTTAAATATAATCAAAACTTCTTCAACCGATATTGAAGATGACACCAAATCGCGTTCTATTGATAATATTGATGATAAAAATTCAATTGAAAAAACTGATATTCCAAAAGTAGATTCCACTAATATTCCATCCATAAATATAATCAAAACTTCTTCAACCGATATTGAAGATGACACCAAATCGCGTTCTATTGATAATATTGATGATAAAAATTCAATTGAAAACACTGATATTCCAAAAGTAGAATCCTCAAATATTCCATCCTTAAATAAAATGGAAGCCGCTTCAACCGATATTAAAGATGACACCAAATCGCGTTTAATTGATAATATTGTAGATAAAAATTCAATTGAAAAAACTGATATTCCAAAAGTAGATTCCACTAATATTCCATCCATAAATAAAATGGAAGTTTCTTCAACCGATATTAAAGAAGACACCAAATCCATAAAAAACATTAACAATTCAAATATTGAATCCTGTAATGAACTATCGTTAAATAAAACTAATTCATCTACGTCCGATAACGATAAAGACACCAAATCACGTTCAATCGATTATGTTAATGATAAAAATTCATTTGAAAACACTGATATTCCAAAAGTAGAACTCTCAAATATTTCATCCTTAAATAAAATCGAAACTTCTTCAACCGATAGTAAAGATGACACCAAAACGCATTATATCGATAATTTTGATGATAAAAATTCAATTGAAAACACTGATATTCCAAAAGTAGTATCCTCAAATATTCCATCCTTAAATAAAAACCAAACTTCTTCAACTGATATTGAAGATGACACCACATTGCGTTCTATCGATAATATTGATGACAATAATTCAATTGAAAACACTAATATTCCAAAAGTAGATTCCTCTAATATTCCATCCATAAATAAAATCCAAACTTCTTCAACCGATATTGAAGATGACACCAAATCGCGTTCAATTGATAATATTGATGATAAAAATTCAATTGAAAAAACTGATATTCCAAAAGTAGATTCCACTAATATTCCATCCATAAATAAAATGGAAGCTTCTTCAACCGATATTGAAGATGACACCAAATCACGTTCAATCGATAATCTTGATGATAAAAATTCAATTGAAAACACTGATATTCCAAAAGTAGAAATCTCAAACATTCCACCCTTAAATATAATCGAAACTTCTTCAACCGATATTGAAGATGACACCAAATCGCGTTCAATTGATAATATTGATGATAAAAATTCAATTGAAAAAACTGATATTCCAAAAGTAGTATCCTCAAATATTCCATCCTTAAATAAAATCCAAACTTCTTCAACTGATATTGAAGATGACACCACATTGCGTTCTCTCGATAATATTGATGATAATAATTCAATTGAAAACACTAATATTCCAAAAGTAGATTCCTCTAATATTCCATCCTTAAATAAAATCCAAACTTCTTCAACTGATATTGAAGTTGACACCACATTGCGTTCTATCGATAATATTGATAAAAATTCAATTGAAAAAACTGATTTTCCAAAAGTAGATTCTACTAATATATTATCCATAAATAAAATGGAAATTTCTACAACCGATATTAAAGAAGACACCAAATCCATAAAAAACATTAACAATTCAAATAT